CTTATTTATGCTTTACTACTTTAATTATGTTTTGGGATTTTGAATATTGGTTTGGTTTTAATAAGGACCTTTATGGTTCCAATTTGTAAGCTTTGACTTATTGATTTTCTAAGTTATATTATTTTAAAGACTTATGTTTGGTTTTCCGCTGCAATACTTTGATAAAGCCTTAACGTTTTAACACGTGGCGGTAACATGTCAATGGTTCTCCACTATTTTATTTAAAGTAAGTGGTTTGGAAAAGGGAGAATTATTGGAGTGTTACAGGGGCGATATAGGTTCAGCGTGCGCGAGGAGGTGGATGTGGAAGCCAACGGTTGGGAGGGGACGAGTTTTCGAGGGAGAAAAGGGGTTTTGAGGTTAAGGGAAGCCTAGACTGGGTCGCCGGTTCGGGGTGGCTGGGTTGGGTCGTCGGTGTGAGGTGGCTGGCTGGGTCGTCGGCGCGAGTGGTGGTTGGTGGTTAGGGCTGGATGTGGTGGGTTAGGTTTTTCTTTTTTATATTAATTAAATAATTATTTAAAATCCAATCAATCTGCCACGTGGTATTTGGTGACATATTTTAAAAAATTAAGTATATCGTGAATTTGAAATTTTTCATGGGTATATGATGAATAAAAACATAACTCAGGGGCATTTGGTGAAATTTCTAAATAATTAAAGTTCATTTTACCTTCATGAGGTCCTAAATCAAAATCTAAACTTTGCGATCCTATAAATTGAAGTACGTAAAAGATTTTAGGGTGATTTTTCACATAAGTTAGTTACTTATATTTTCAAGATATATAGCCCCACTTTCTCAAAATTTGAATAAACAAATTTTAATTCTCCCTTAAAATTGAATATTTAAACTGAAATCCAGACTTTCCAACCTTATAATTGTTAATTCGTAAAATATTTTACAGTGATTCATTCACGGAAATCTCTTATGTTTTCATCATACAAAGCTCCATCTCTTAGAGTTCGAGAAAAACAAAATTCATTTACCCCTTAAAATTGGTGAAACGCTAAACATCGCCCGCAATTTACCATATAAAGCCCACAAATATGATATGGTTTGACCATTATGCCCATTTTCTAAAATTGAATTAATCTCGGTGTAAAAAATGTGGAGCCGTACTGGCTCGCCGGGGGAGACTGGAGGGCAGGCCGGAGATGCGGGGGACGCCGGAGGTACGTCGTCGTCGACGGAAAACAAGGTAAGTCACCGTTAAAATTCACAGTTTACCGTCGGAGTGGCTCCGACGCCTAGCATGGACGCCCAAACCGTAGCCTGGACGTCCAAGCCAGACGCCAGAACCACCAGAGTGGCGTCCAGCCCAGACGCCCAGACCACCGGACTAGCGTCCTGGCCAGGCGCCACTCCACTGGGTGAGGCGGCCCTGCCAGGCGCCAGTCCAGTGGCTGTGGCAGCCCTGGCAGACGCCACCCTTATAAATTAATTTTTTTTTTCTTTTTTGATTTTGTTGTTTTTTATTTATTTTTTTTTTAAAAAAAAAATCGAAAATGTTTAAGATTCTCCATGGTACGATGTATAGCCATTTTATATTTAAGATTCTCCATGGTCGTGTGTCGCACTACTGCTTGGGGTTGATTCTCACTGAGCTGAACAGGGTGAGGGACTTGGCTGACGAAGTGTATGCTCGGTGTGGGTGTACTATTTCAGTAACTCATGGATTACCTTGCGCATGCACCATTCACCGCGTTATTACAGAAGAAAGGGCGTCGTTACATGTTGATCAGGTCCATTCATTCTGGAGGACGCTTGTTATTGGTGAGCATGCAGACACTCAAACGGCTGACCGTGAACAGGAGGAGTTGGAGCAGTTTCGTTCGATGTACGACCGAGTGTCCTCCAGCCATCCTTCTATTATTTGTGACGCTACTCATGTACTTCATGACATGTTCCACCCGACTACCTTAGATTATGAGGAACCCGAAGGAGTTGACCGTCCTCGAGGTCGACAACGGCGGAACAGGAGTGCGTTTGAGTATATCCGTGGTCTTGGTCGTGGTCGTTCTCGTGGTCGGACATCGTCATCTAGTCGTAGTCAATCTTCATCGTCTGTGAATATGCCCCTGAGAACTGGTACGTTTTGGTTGTTTTTATTGCACATAGTTTTAAAGTGTTACTCCTGCCTTCTTAACTTTCTATAATTATATGGTGAATAGGAAGAAACGATGTTGATCAGTTTCCGTACAAGGAAAGGATACCTGCGATCATCATGTCGTACTTGGAAGGGTGGAATGATGTAATCGGAGATGGTAACTGCGGATTCCGGGTCGTGGCTGATGTTTTTCAAATGGGCGAAGACAACTACGGTTGGTGCGTCAGTTGATGTACAGCGAAATTGCCTCTAACCGAAATGTTTATCGTCATGTGTACCAGGATGACTTGGATGGCGCTCTGCGGCGTATCCGGTGGGGAGGTGGACCTTGCGGCCAAAATCATTATTTTGACGCGCCCCTAGATCTGTTTGCCGTTGCAAACATTTACAAATGCGCAGTCATGCATTTCGGCCTGGGAGTGCATACCACGGTTCTCCCTTGGCGGTCGCGTGAGACTGTCACCACACCGGTCAGAGAGCTAGCTATTGCGTTTCTTGGGTCGTCATACAGACATTTCATCCGACTAGACATGTCAACCGATTTTCCAGTGCCACCGATTATACCTCGGTGGTACAACATTCGCACAGCGAGCGTAGAGGGTTGGGATGCGCTATATCATGACCGGATCCACGAATGGAACACCCTAGCTGCATTTTAGTTTTTCATGTTTACATTCTTTATTTGTAATCTTATTTGTACGTTGCTCTTTTAATGAGAACATTAATATTTTATATTGTATTGCTTACTGCATTCTATATGTTGCATGGGTAAGTTGCGCGGATCCACGAACGGTTATATCAAAATTTAAAAACAACACTGATAATATGTTTAAGTTGGAAGCTAAAAGAACAATCTAAAATGTTACAATCTTACAACATAATGTCCAACATAATGCTCTATAAATAAAATGACAAAACCATCAGTAATCCCTCCTCGACGACGACTCCCACTGCGCAAGGGTCTGTTCCAGACTATCAACAACAGCTCTCCCTGTTGCACTCATGCTGTCCTTCTCAAGAGAAAGTTTCTGTACGTCCTGCATTATCTTTCCCATCCACTGCATACAACAAAAAACAGAAGATGAAATACAATAACAACATATAAAACTTAATTAAAAGACAACGATAAATATAATAAAAGACATACCGCTTCCGTGGCAGTAGGCGGTGGCACATAATCATCATCACTGTGGTCGAGATCTGCGATCAACCTCGGGTGTGAATACCGGTTGAACCATTCCATGTAGTAATGGTCACACATGGGAGAAACCCCAGAGGATCTGACATGTTTATGCCCCGACCTCTCCACTGAATAGCTTCTACTAAGAAGCTCTATATTCTTCCCCGCACCATGACGACCCAGTGAATTCTACACAAAATTTTAAAATATATAAACATACAAAAATTTATACGAAAAATAGCTACCACTCCCAAATCAAATAAACTAAAAACATACAAATAATTGTAAACAAAATATAAACATAGAAAAAATACAACGAAATTGAAAAAATTTATAAAAATAAACAACAAAATATAAAAACAATTCAAAAATATATTACACAAAAAAAAAAAAAAAAAATTAAAAACAATATTTTAAAACAAATATAAAAAAAAGGGGGGGGGCGCCTTGGCTGGACGCCCAGCCAGCAGTGGTGGCGCCAGTTGCAGACGCCGCCACCAGTGGGCTGGCGCCTAGGCTGGACGCCACAGCCACGGCTGCGGCGCCTTGAATAAACGCCACAACCGTGGCGTCCAGCCCAGGCGCCTTCTTACTGGTGGCGGCGTCTGCAGCTGGCGCCACCACCGCTGGCTGGGCGTCCAGCCAGGGCGCCCCACCGCCGTCACGGCGGTTTTTCCCTTTTTTTTTTTTTTTTTTTACAAATTGTACCTTTCCTCCTTGGGACATCCTTCCCTCCGCCGCCGCCGCCAATTCCTTGGATTGCCGCCTCGACATTGCCGTTGTTTGATTTTTTTTTTTTTTTTTTTAGAGAGGTTGAAAGAAGATGAGCAATGAGAGTGTGAGTGATGAGAGTGTGAGTGTTTTTTTTTAAGGTCAAGGGCAATTTTGTCAAACCAAGTGAATTTTGTGGGCTTTATGTAGTAATTTGTGGGCGATGTTTAACAAATCCCTAAAATTGAGTTCCCATATCAAAATCTTGATTTTGCAACCCCGTAACTTTAAGGTCATAAAAAATTTTAGGGAGTCATTCACAAAAGCTTCTTAAATTTCATGATATTACCCTCCTTCACGAAATTCAAGGGTTTAGGGTTTTAGGGTTTAGATTTCAGGGTTCAAATTATATAGATTCATGCTCCGTTAAGAGTTAACCTCACCCACCCCAAAATGGAGTTGAGAGGTAGAAGAATGAGGGAATCCTCGAGTCTTTGAGGTTGGATGGGGAATCATTATTGAGGAGAATGAGGGAATCCTCGAGCCTTTGAGGTTGGATGGGGAATCATTATTGGGGAACTCCAAAATGAAAGGTGGGAAAACGAAATGCCAAAATAAAAAGCTAGCTACAAATCACCTTTCCTTTAGTGTTTACTCCGAACCAAACTCTTTAGAAAATGATTAGAATAGTGTTTACTAGCTCTTTGTTCTGAAAAACTAAAAGGACCCATTTTACATAATTGGATAATCCTAACTTATTTCTAGCTAATGATTCGACTCGCCATAAACAACCCCAACTTTTTTTTTTTTTGACACAACAACCCCAACTTGAATATACTATATTACTTTATCATTATATTACAACTATTACAATTTTACATAATGGTATACAGTAACAACTTAGCATGTATTGGCATAGAAATATGTGCAAGTGTATAACCATATCATTTTATGAAGTGTGTCAGCAGATGATTCATATATATACATGTAAAAAAAACTCAAGCTTAGCTCTCGGAGAATCTTCTCAAAGGATAATCAACTATTTCAGCCGTGTCTTCAAAGCTTTTACAGGCAACTGTCAACATTGTTAGAGAAATGCTGCCCAGCTACAAAATCTAAAAAATGTAATCAATAATAGAGCGCTATGAATTTACATCAATGTTTTATGTCCAGATCATATCATAATGTTCACAGGGTATAAAGACATTCAAAGCGGAAATTCTTTCTGAAGGACATCAATATTACGAGAATCACATGCTTCCAACATGTCATTTCTTGAAGCACAACTGCAATATACATGTCATATGTGAGCACTCACGAAATTCAATTTAGCAAATCAAACTTCATGACAACAGAAATACCTCAAAGAAATCCTCAGATACTGCCACGCATTATCTGCCTTTGGATTCATTGCAAGCGCACGAACATAGTAACGGATAGATTCCTCGTACATGCCCTGTCAAGAACTTAATTATAATACTATATTTTTCTGCATGGGTTCAATAGGTAAAATGCAAATCCTAATAAAATTGGGCGCTGCATGCACCAAAATATCATATCTGCTGATTAATGAGAAAGTCAAGGTTCAATGGCAGGCCTCAATTAGCATTATGCTTTTAGATCCCAATTCCTAAATAGGTGAAGTAGCTAATAGTTTTAATACTATACTGCCCTGTTATTGTAAATAAATGGTAGTACTTGTATGTTCAACTCATTTGTATTATTGTAAAATACGTCCCATGCCAACGTCCACGTTAACGCAACTCCATCACCAAGTGTCCCCAAGTACGTGTTTCTCTTATTAAGTTTTCACTAACACTCACCACCTTAAACAGTTTTGAGTGGTAATAGAAATTTATGAAGAGATATACATGCTTAGAGGTGGAGGCAATACGTCCAAGGGTCATTAATAGCATGGAAAACAAGGAAGATCCGGTTACGAATAAACACATTTAGATGTAACACAGAGGGTAGAGGCAAGGCACTCAAGACTCAACTCTATTATAATGGTCTTTTATTTACAAAAATACAACTACATTCCTCGCAAATTAGCAGAACTTCTAAGCAACAGTCTTGGTCTTTTGACCATAAGTAAAACCCCCTATCCTGTGCGAGGATAAAATAAATATGAAAAGGGAGGGATACTGCAGGAGCTCCTCGACTTGTAAATATGACTCGAAGTAGAAAAAGATCTCAAGGACAAGTTCACAATGAAAGGCAGCTGTCACTATTTCACTAATTATACACAAGAAAAACAGGAACAAGTAAAAAGTAGAGCAGAACCTGGTTGGCATAGCTGATACCCATATTTGCCCATGCACGAACGTAATTGGGCTTCAGATCTAGGGCCTGGTAGACACACAATAAATTAAGTGTGAAAATGTTACACAGAGAGAGAGAGAGAGAGAGTAGCAAAGTGAATCATTGTTATAAACAGAAAAGCAATTTTCAACCAGCACCTCATTAGTTCATAATTTCTCATTTGAAGAAGACCTAAACTCAAACAGTCAAACTCAACCCTTTCTAGCTCCTTTATTACTTTTCATGGATAGGGAATCATTTTAGGTAGTTTCACTCCTTCAGATGACTAGAGGTCTAGAATTGCGAATGATATATATTGATGTTGAAAAATTCACGTACCGCATAATAAATCCTATGGATTCTGGATTTCAAAATGAAAGGCCTACAATCACCACTAAAATCCTTTTGTTCCCACTTCCTCTACCCGTAAACATGCATAGAGAAATTACGGAATTACCACACTTAAAAGACTAAACAGAAATTAGAGCTTGCAACATGAATGGTGGTAACAAAAGTGGAAGACTATCAGATTACCCATGTTACTGCTACATTTGTACAGCGACTTGCAGAAAATATTGGATAATTGTTTGATATAGATGCCAGTAAATCAAAGAGAGGGACAGCTTCTTCGGTGATATGGCAAAAAGACAGGGAGAAATATACAGGTGAATCTCTTATTCCTAAAAACTGTTGCTACAAAACATAAGACACAAACAATGATGTGGAATAAAAAGAAAGAATTTGTAGCCAAGTGGACACTTAATATTAATGTAGGGTGTGTGAGAATTTCAAGATTACATATAGCTGAAATGAATAGTATGCTCTTGGTGCATCCAGTAATTAGTGATTAATAAAACCAGGGAGTCTTAAGGATACATTTCCTCAACAATATTTCACCCATCTAGGCTGAAACACTTTCAGAGTTCCAGTAAAAAACATTAACAAACAATGTAACCATCCCGCAAATTGAATCCATGTTTGAAATGAAAAGGTTCAAAAACTTAACACTAGAGCATATACAGGCCAATGTCTGCACTCTATTTATTAAACTAAGTTACTGTTATTATGAAGGGCTTTAATTAAAAAAAAAATCTGAACACAAATCTGTATTTTTATTAGACAGCCCTTTGAATTAACGAATGCAGTAGGGAAGCAACAATCATAATTCTATTCCATAAAGACTACTTATAAATCTACTTTTGAAAACCTAGTCATCTCTTCCCAACTATGCACCCAGCCACCCATAGGCTAGCCACGCAAGTTGACAACAACAGTCATTTCCTCCCTTCATGACTCCAAAAGGTAGCAGAGCAAGTCAGCTGCCTTCAAACTATAACTTCAAGGATACAGATCATATTGCCATATTGGTCATTTGAATTTTCTAACGAAATTTCATCAAGGTACTTATGACAATAACCTAAAAAACACAAGAATTCCTAAGCTAATTTTTCATTAGTAAACAGTAAGGGTAAGGGGACTTCGAAATTCCTAAACTAACTTTGGCCAAAAAGAAAGGTATTCAGTCAAACAGATTTGCAAGAGAGAATTAATAATAAACGGATGGATCCTAAGAAATGCCCAACTAATTAAACTAGACTCCAGAAGATAGCAAAAATAAACTAGTAAATACTTCATTTTTTTAGATGCATCACTTTTGAAAGTACTCATAGGCAATATTTGGAGTAGAAAGAGATGGACAAAAATAATAAGGGTCCATGTGATATGAGAGAGATAGAGAGAATCTATTAAGTAAAAAGGAAAGTGATGCATCTAAATTGGAACTTCCATTTATAGAAACTGATGCATCTAAAAAAAACAGAGGAAGTATTACAAGTTTCAATGATCGAGATCACACAACATTACTTTCCATTTGAATGGGACATTTGACAAATATCATCAAGGTGCATAATATGTAAGAGAAAAAGGGCACCATAAATTGCAATAAGAAGCTACCTGCTGATAAGCATCTATTGCTTCTGCACTCTGAACACTATTAGCTTGTGTGGCACCCAGCTTATTCCAAAGGGAGTAGTCATGTGGTTTTAGTTTTATGGCTGTCTTAAATGAATCAATGGCTTTGTCATATTCCCTGGATAAGTTATAAAGTACACCCAATACAATATGGACATCAGCATCCTCAGGTGATATCTGAGCAGCCTCATTGAAAATCCTTGCAATCTGCAAGCCATGCGCTTCTAGATCATAAACAATGAACATAAATAACTACTAAATTTGCACATATATGGCAAGATTATGATTATTTTTTAGAGGAGAAACATCCAGAACTATTGGACCAATGAGCCCTCCACACTTCTCTTATCCTATCGAAAAGGGAAGTTAAAAAAGGAGCACTAATAACAAAAGAAATTTCAGACAAACACGTGAATTATTATTTTTTTTTTCCTACAGTTAGTCGACAACAGTTTTTAGTAACACATAACCTCTTGGATTTCCCAAAAAATGGCAATTACAAGTGCATATTATCTATCCATAAACCTCACCCCCAAGGGCCAAGGCAAAAAAAAAATGGCAGCTCTTTTTTTTTTCCTTTCTGATTTTGCTTTTTATGTGGTGCTAGTGGTTTTTGTTTTTGTTTTTTATTTTTTTTTAGGGTGGGGGGGGGGGGGAGGTGGTGTACGCTGTAGGGGGTGAAAGGGAGAGCCCCTTGATCTAGTAAGCCTAAACCTGAGAACAAGCCACTTTAGGGGTTCCAAGAAACCCCCAAGGGCAACCTAGGCATTATTGGGGCTCCAAATCCAAGATCATCCATAAATACACCATATAGAATACTCCCCAATGATACTGATATTAGAGTTGGCAAAAGCTAACACAACACAAACTAGACTTGAAAAAGGGGTTTATTATTAAGCATTTTTGACTCATTAAGTTAAACTGATAAACACGACAAGACACAACTAGTTGAATGGGTCGGATTAGTGTTGAAAATTACAAAACGAACTTGACACAAGCCAACCCGCATAAAGGGTTGAGTTAGGGTCATGTTAGACTCATTCAGCCACTTAAAGGAATATATATATACAAAAAAAAATATCAACTTATACAACTTGTACTTTGTCCCAAGCCTTAAAGTCCAATACAATTCTTTTTAAAAAAACATGGCCTAAACCCTAAAACCCCAATACTCAGCCTTCATATATAGCATCTCTCAATCCAAGAATCAAGCCCTAATACAGGTAACACTCTCACTTGGTCATTCAATCATAGCAGTCGCCATAAAAGTCTCTTTTCAGCCTCTTAAAGACTCAAAACACTCTCTTACACTTCCTCTCTCTAAGAAAATGGAAATTAAGTTATTCTCTTTTGTTTTTCTCTTGGTTAATTTTTGTAGATTTGATTACTCGTGCTCTATTCCTATCTAAGGTGATTTTTTTTTTTTTTTTTTTTTTTTTTTTTTTTTTTTTTTTTGCTCTTGCATAGTTCGTTTCCTCCTTTTTTATTTTTCCAGTTTGAAGATGGGGATCGTACAAATTTTAGGAGTTTGACAAATGGAGCAACCATCCCTAAAGCACATGAAGTTTTGATAGCATCACATTCGCGTATTCAGAAGAGAATATGACAATTGTAAAGCTTGTACGAGTATTAATTTTTTTAGTAAAAGCCCGTTTTCTAAATCTCATACAGTATATTTATTCTACGAATGTGTTAACTTTTTGGCAATAGTTTGCAATTTAGAGTATAATTAGAACACAATACACCTCAATAAGCTTTAGCTAGTTATGAACACAAAAGGGTTGAAAATTCCTAACAAAAACACAACCCGATTAGCTAAACGGGTTGAAATGGGCTCAATATTGTTAAGACTCTCTCACACACACAATTAACACAAAAAAACGAGGAATGATCAAATCATTGATTGAAAATATTAAATACAAGCTAGCAGCTTTAGGCTACAAAGCTCCAAATAGTGACTTAAGGTCACAACTCTCCTAATATCTTGAGGTCACAAATCTCCTAAGAATTCACTCATAATCTGCCTGCCTCCTCCTTCCTCATCTCTCTCTATTTACATACACAGTTTCAATCCCTAGGATGATTGCTTTTGTCTCATGTGCAAAAGTGACAACTCTCTCTCTATTTATAATTAAATCTGATCACTATAAACAGAATGATACTAGACTACCCATTATGGCTCTCCTTAGATGATGATGATTATTATTATTTGTCTCATGTGCAAAAGTGACAACTCCCTCTCTATTTGATCACTATAAACAGAATGATACTAGACAACTCCCTTGTTGTTGTTGTTGTTGTTGTTGTTAATAATTTTGTTTTTTTAAAAAAAAAAAAAAAGCAGAAAGAGCATATAGTTGTTTTTTACCTTAAAGTACATGGCCCACTAAATTACACTCCTAACAACCACTCATCCTATTTTAAAGTTTATTATTTCATGTAAACCCCACCTTTCTTAATAATTGCGCTAAAGGGTGTGTTGCATCTAAAGAAAAACGGAGGAAGTATATGTTTTGTAAAGAACATCCAGCTTTATGTTCTGTAATATTATAAAGAACATGATAATATTATGTAACGAACATTATTTATATGTACCCACAATAATCTAAAGACAAAATTCAAAGAATCATTTCACAATAAGCAATGATTATTTTGTCACAAACAGAAGTACATTACCCTAACAATAAAAAAACATGGACATATATTCCTTTCACTAAGTATATGTTCATTACATTCTAATAGTATGTTCTTTTCACTACAACTATTCATTACATTTTAATAGTATGTTCCATCCGTTTTTTTTTTTATTGAAACGTCTGTACGATGACACCTGCAAGAACCACGCATTGGGTGGGTTAGGTCTGTGTTATTGTTTTAAAAAACAGTTGTGTTCATTTTTGATTTCCTGTCCAGCGTTTTTGTGTTTAAGGGTTTCCATCCAATTTATACGTGGCAAGGGAACAAGCACAACACAATGCGACCTGTTTGCTAACTATGCTCTAAGTGAAATACCATTCCCTCCGTCCCATTATAAAGTACATGTATTAATGTTACTTTGACACCCTGTTGTACATTGGGTGTCGCGTGGGAATCCTCCACAACATATGACAAAAAATTCCCTTACTATTCATTTAATTTACCAAAAATAACGGCCACTTTTCAACAAAATTTGTGCCTAATTAGTTTTTATTTACTACGTATTTATTTTTTATTTTTATATTTTTTTTTAATAATGATGCATTATTAAAACAAATTCGTGTCTTTCCACCATCAAGACCCTTATCTCTGTCTCTCTCTCTCCACATCTTCATATACAATTAAACCCACCTCCACCACGATGGATAAACCCATTGTCGCTTCCATCACCGTGCCATTCCCATCACCAGTCCAGCATCTGTAATACATCACAGTTTCCGTAGGAGGTGAGTCGTGATGGTGGCGGAGAGATTTAAACCGTCATCGGATTTCAAGTGAAAGTGAAGGTAAAACCCAAATTAGAAGAGAGATGACTAGACTCAACGGTAGCAGCAATAGATCTCGTCAGCGAGTTTCCATTGAGGAGGTAGGTCAACAAGTGGCTAGAGTGATGGAATTCTGACAGAGGAGCGATGTAAATTTATTGAACCATTTGTAGATATGTCAAACGTTGACCCGACCTGAGATACCAACCCGAACCCGATTAGAAAAAATGGTAACCCGAACCCGATCTGACCCGACCTAAAACCAACCCTAGACCCGAGTATTTGAGACCCGAACCCGAACATGAACCGACCTGGAGATGAACTAACCGAAATATAACCCGTAAATTATTGACCTTAACTCGTATAAACCCGAATTTAACCTAACCTGTTACTAACTCGACCTGAATTCAACACGACCTGTTGCTAACCCGACCCGAATTTGGCCCGACCTGTTACTAACCCGACTTAAAATTCAACCCGATTTATTACAAACCCTACCCGAAATCAACACGATTTGTTATTGACCTGACCCAAAATCAACTCGACTTATTATTTTATACATCTTTATTATTATAGACATTGACTAGCTAAATAAAGATATATGCTTTATATATTGTAATCCACTAGTAAAGTCAAAACTTCGTAAGGCTAAACTACTCTATGTTAATATCGAAAGTATTTTGTCTTTACTTGAACCGAACCCGCAAATTATTGACTTGAACCGAATCCAACTTGAACCCAAGAATGACCCAACTTGGAAATGATCCGACCTGAATATAACCCGCAAATTATTGACTTGAACCGAATCCAACTTAAACCCGAGAATGACCCGCCTGATTATAACTCGCAAATTATTGACCTGAATCGAATCCGAAAATGACCCTACGCGTTTTAACTCGTGAAAACCCGAATTTAACACGACTTTTTATTCACCCGACCTATTATTAACCCGACCTAAACCCAACCCAAACCCAATAAGATGTATGACCCGACGTGACCCGACTCAAGCATGACCCGACCCGAACTCGACCCGCATAGGTTATGACATTAACCCGAATTGACCTGACTCGAGTTGACCCGACCCACACTTACCCAACCCAAACCCAAACCCAACCCGTTTACCCGAATTGACAGCTCTAACCATTTGCACAAGACATTATAAAATTTCTATTATAACGAAACAAATTATGAGAAAAATAGGAATTTGATGCAGTTAAGGCGGGGGGTGTAATCCCCCATATTTTTAAATATATTATAAATGAAATTATATATTATTTATAATATTTATTTGTATTTTTCCGGAATTTAATTTCAAAAGTTTCAATTTTTAATTTTGGGTCGAAAATTATTTTGGTACAAATTTTTATACATACCTTCATTCTATAATTCATGTCCAAACAAACAAAGTCAAACTCATCTTATTTACTTAAATTGCCCATTAATTTTATGAGGCCCAATCTTACTACTTACCCTACAACTCTCTCTCCTATAAATACCCCATACATCCCCAAATTTTTCCCCACACAAAAAGGTTAGTAACTTCTCTTCTCTTTATTTTATTTCTTTATTTTTTCCCTTTTTCTTTTCTTTTTCTTTCTTTCTTTTCTTTCTTCACATGAGCATAGCTCACTGCTTCCCCTGCTGCCCACCACCGCTGGTCGCCGGTCACCGCCCACCACCGCCGACGACCCACCAAGCGGCCCACCTTGGCTGCCCCTTTTTCCTCCTCCTTTTATTTTTGTTCTATTATCTTGTTTATTATTAAATTGTTTTGGGTTTTGATTTTGTAGTATAAAGATTATATTTTTAGTATCAAAATCATGTTTTTGATGTTTTAAACTAATAATTTCAGATTTTAATTATGTTATAAATTTTCAGATTTTATGAATTATAAACCAAGGGTTTTAATTTATTGAAATTGGGATTTTAGGGTTCTTATGATCAATTAATTTGGGGCTTTTGTTCCTATTGTATTTCTATTGATTAATTAAGCATAAAAACATGTTTTTAAGGAAGTTTTAAGAACTTTTAATCTAATTTATATTGCTGGAAATTTGGTTAAGTATTAATTTGTGATTATTGGTTGTTTTCTAGGAAGTGATTATTCCCTAGGAGAATTTTAAGTGATTAAAAGTGGCACAAAGGATTGTTTATACGAGGTACGTACATGTCTACTTCGTTGTAAGTAGTATCATGTTTAGGTACCAAAAGGAAAGAACTTAGTTTCATGATTAGGGAACACTTGGATGGAAATTGTTTGGTTACACATTGATTTAATTCATGTGCTTATGTTTATGAGATATGTTTTGGTGAATTGATTATGTTTGTATGGGATTATGGATGCAAACATGTTGAATTATATTGGATTAATTGTTTGTATGGAATGTTGATACAAACATATTTTTATTGGATTGGTTTGTTAACCACATTTGGATTATTAAAGGTTTGAAATTGAATGGTTTAAGTGGAATGAATTTATTAATTATTCCACAAGTTTGTTATTTATTTTATTACTCAATCATGACTTGTTAGTATGTTGAGTAAAGGTGGATTAAGCCGAAATGGCTAGGTGGGTTGACTATGTTCAACAATTTGGATAATTTGGAAGTTTAATGAAATTAAAGGTCAATTTGTGATGTGATCACCATTGTCCTAAATAAGATTAAAAGTAAATTGATGTATGATTTTTATGTATGGTCTATTGGATTGAGTCGGCTATTAAGTAAAATTGTAATCACGTAAATTGAAACATGGATGAGCAATAAAACTCTAGAAAGCGTGCACTTCTAGAGTATTGACAATTATGGGTTGGGGTACACGGTGGTAGCCCGTGGCTTTCCGAGGCTTGTTTGATCAACATGTCCTCTTCTCTTTTGGTATTTACATTTTATTTTATATTGAAAGTTGGATTGGATCCTAGACTAACTTTGTGAGAATGGAGTCGCGCCCATTCTTGCATCGCGCTAAACTTTTATTTTAAATGGTCATTTGGGACCAAAATGATTTGGTGGATTGGACAACCTCGTCTATTGCTTACTCCAAACTAAATTAATTAAATCAAATATAAAGAGTCGAGTGTTTATAATTGGTTAGAAATTATATTGAGTCAATTGAATTGTTTAAGTGTGGAGTCTTGATTAATGAATTCAAGTTGTACGTTTATTTACTTTAATTAGTTGAGCATGTCAGGTTTTTGGGCTTGCCATTTGTTGAACATATCTCGGCTAATCAAAGAACACAAAGAATCAGAAATTATGACTTCATAGTTTAAAAGCGTGAAATATGTAAGCATAAACAAAAACAATAATATTGGATTGGCTCATATAGCTAAAAATGTTACTATGACTTCTGGAACTGCATCAATGACCCTGTGATGATCCAATTATTACATTTGTATTATTGGGGAGCAGTATTGCACAGGTTAGCTTGATGATGTGAAGTTCGGTGATTTGACATACGCATTGTCAAGGGATTGGTGTGATTGAGAGTATTCGTTCTTTGTGTTGAACTTATTTGTGTTTTACTACTTTAATTATGTTTTGGGACTTTGATTATTGGTTTGGTTTTAAATAAGGGCTTTATGGTTCCAATTTGTAAGCTTTGACTTATTGGTTTTCTAAATTATATTATTTTAAGATTTAAGTTGGATTTCTGCTGTAATACTTTGATAAAGCCTTAACGTTTTAACACCTGGCGGTAACATGTCAATGGTTCTCCTCTATTTTTATTTAAAGTAAGTGGTTTGGAAAAGGGAGAATTATTGGGGTGTTACAGGGGGGGAAGTTAAAGAAATTAAGGGAGAAAATAGATAGAAACACAATTAGGATTTCTGAAATTGGGGGAGAGTGACAAAAAGTCAGAAAGAAAGAAAAACAAGTAATGCTGATTTATTTTGAAAAGAAAGGGTAAAAGGTGTGCATGTACCAAAATATATTAATTAAATAAATGTAAGGGAATCTTGCAACTCCCTCTAAAACCCTTAAATATTGTGAAACATGAGAAACCTCGGTGATGAGCCAAACAAGTAACAACTCAATAAGCAAAGATTTGAGATGAGGTCACTTACATCAGCATAATAAAGAGAATCAGGCAGCTCTTCAGGTGAAAGTGTCCCATATTTTGGGTGATTGCGAAGCCACTGGTACAGATATTTCAGTGCAGCAGATTGCTCCAATTCTGAAGTTTACACATATTTCAATTAGTCCTATAAAAACTAATTTAAATAAAAACAGAAATAAGGGAAATAGGTTTTTTTTTTTTTTATCCCAATTAATTTAATTAACTGGCAAGTTTTACTTAAATACAGTACATTATAATTTCTACATTCATCTGCTACAAGTTCACAACTCTGCTTGTGGAAACAAATTTCCACAACAAAGTAACCATAAACGGGTATCCGATTTGTAGAAAGAAAAACACTTAACAGTTTAAAGGCTCCCAAATTCCAAAAAAAAAAAAAAAAAAAAAAAACAACCATCAAACCTTTACCCACCTAGCAAGTTCTGATGGTAAAATAATGTAAGAGGAAGAGCAAGAAGATTAGCATTAGATTTACCATTTGTATGACTCACTCCAAGAGCAAGAAGAACTTCTAGGTTTGTGGGGTCAACTTCTTGAGCCCTCATCATCGATGCTATAGCCTGCAAGCTCATAAAAAGACAGTGCTAAGAAGATTCAACTAACATAAAAATCGCCAGTTCAAGAGACAATCTCTTAAAAATTGCAACATATTCCAATAAAACATACCATAGCTCATCTGCTAACTTAAAAGGGTCCCCCAAATATCTAAGCATTTGTCATCATATTGGAACAATTTGAATCTCATATAACAATAATAAAGGCATCATGTTCTTAAAGTTATCCAACATTCAGTAAATTCATTTAATTTCTAATATCATGGAATGATGAGTCAAAATGTAGAAGAATAACAAAGTATTCATCCCAGCATGGATCCAGCCCCACACACTTACCAAGAAGATGTACCAAAAAATTGCCATCAGAGTTATACAATGGGTAGCACTGACCTGTTGATCATCATCGTTTTCTGCATGAGCTATTCCTAATAACCTCCAGCCTTCAGCATTGCCAGGATTCTTCAAGACTTCAGCCTCTAAAGCAAGCACAGATTCACTTAATAGCCCCTTTCTAAACAGCTCTTGCCCTTCTTTTAGAGGATCAGGGTGACCAACATAGGGGTTCATGTCAGAAAATACATAGACACCCTTTGAGGAATCTGAATTATGCTTGGCAACAGACTGTTCATTGAGATACCTGCACTTTATACAGAAACAAGGCCAATTAGCTCTTATATGCATATGAGTTATCCAAAAAAGTCAATTCATCAGCTCCCATTTGTTTGTTTATTAAGTACGGTATGTAAACAAATTTAATTTCCACAGTCAGCTACACTTACTCATCATAAGCACTAGCCCAGCTGTCCATAATATCCTCACCAACTGCACCTTCAGTTTGATGCTCAAATTCTCCTACCCAGTCTTGGACGTTTAACTTGGAGAACTCATCTACCCACTTGTCATCCCCCAACAATTCCTTTTCTCTTGCGCTAGTAAATTCATTAACCCATTTGTCTTCACCACGAGGGAGCTGAATTTTTATTTTTTATTATTACACAGAAAAATCAGAGATGAGACAAAGAAATCCAACCAGATATGGGGAAGATGTAATAAACTGCTACTACAGAGAATGATAGTCCTCCCAGATATGGGAAAGATGTGATCACAAAAACAACAAAGCCTTAGTCCCACAATGATTTGGGGTTGGCTAACATGAATCGTCATAAGGAACCGTACAATATAAAAAGGATCATAACAAGATATTCAGTTGAAATAGTTTGGAAAAAGGTGAGTAAAGTGAGAAAAACAAGAGCATTCAAGAAATATAAAGGGAGTTTAAAAAGAGAACTAAAATAAAAATTCAAGAAAGTTTTAAAGAGGTGGTTAAAACGTTTAGAGTAAAAAACATAACGGTTTGAAAAGAGAATACTAATTACAGTTTCATAAAACACTAATGGGGTAAAATAATAAAAGAGAATACTAAGATAAATTTAAAAAGGCATCTATAGACTTTCTTGAAAATGTGATCATATATAACAAAATATACACTAGAAAAGGGTTAAAAAGAAAGTCCAAAGTTAAAACTTCAAATTAATAAGTTCAATTAAAAAAAGAAGACACATAATAGATAAAACCAATACTTTTCAATGAAAAAAAACTCCCTTCGTAGTCAAATATCTAACATAACTCTTTAGAATTGGAACCTAAAATCAATGAGGGTTAATCCACTTCAATTACAACAACCTTTCAATTGTGGCTCAACTATCTATTTTTAATTTTCTTAGAAATTTTTAATGATGCTTCCTAGCGAGTTAACATTCTATTTTTGGATCGCTTGAGCACTAGCTGCCAATGGCCAAAACAAACATTAAAAAAATAAAAATCAGTTACTAGTTAAATTGGACATGCATATTCTACTGTTAATTCTCATGCAGAATCATAGGAACTAATCACTATTAAGTACTCATTGTTTATATATCATTGACAAAGCCTCTGAACAAGCTAGTCAACATTATTTTGGTATAATTGTGTTTTTATTGCACCTAACCAATGTATAAAAAAGCTCTAAGGCGCGCTAAAGCGATAAGGGTTATGCAGCGCCTAGGCGCGCCTTGCCTCTTTGAAGTGAGGCGCACTTAAAAAAAATTGGCAGAAAATTGATTCAAAAGCGCCTCCTGTGCGCCTAATTGGAAACGCATTGCCCAGGCCAAAAAAAGCGCTTACCCCTTACCGCCTTGCGCCTTAGCGCCTAAGGCGCGCTTTTTCAAACCTAACAAGCATTTGTTGTAAATAATTGGTTGAGGTGGCTTTACTACCAAATACTGAACTTGGTGCAAGCTTGATGAACTAGGTGCAAGCTTTTTTAAAACTAGTTATTGTGTTCATTGCTATGTTACATGGACCCGAGTACGTGTGTCAGACACGGACACGTGTCCAAGTGTCCGATTCGTCAATTTCAAAATTTTAGGACACGGGGACACTGTCCTATATTTGGACACGGGTGCGGAGACACGGCACTTTTATTTTTCGCAAAAAAAAATTATACATTACAAAATATTTTAATACTCTTAAATTTTTAAAATTAAATTTTTACATCATATTCTTGTAATATAAATTATATGATTACTATTTCTTGTTATAATTATTCTAGTACTTTCTCTAAAATGAATTGTTTACCGTTTTCAAAAAAAAAAATAAAAAAAATAAAAGATTTTTTTACTGCTGTAAATTGTTTACTGCTGTAAATATTGGGTAATGTATCACAAAAAAGTAATTTTGGTTAAAGTTAGTAGTCAAAACTCAAAAAGTCAAAAAGTCAAAAGCAAAATAAGTGGTATCCCATTACCCTAAACCCCACCTTTCTGACAGCCCCACTCATTTCCTCTTCCTGCCTTTCTCTCTCTCCTCCCCCTCTTTTCTTTTCACTCTCTGGTTTCAATGGAGTCGAAGAAGATTTCGCACACAGCCCTTGCTCTTAAGTATCCGAGTGCAAATAGCCGAATCTGACACGAATTCCGTGTCCGTGTCCGCGTCGTGTCGTGTCGACACGAACTCTTTGGGATTTCAGCCGAGTCTGATGAACATAGGTTCATTGTCTATGTGCAACTTGATGAATTAGGTGTAAGTTTAGATCACTGCACATAGACTTTAATCAATTAGAACTAGGTGCATCTTGATTAATTAAGAGTAAGCTTTCTAAAACTAGGTGCAGTTTGATGAACTGCTATTGACCTTATTGTCTATTTGTCTATGTGCAGCATGATTAATTAGGTGTAAGCTTTCTAAAACTAGGTGCAGTTTGATGAACTAGTTATTGTACTCATTGTCTATATGCAGCTTGATTAATTAGGTGTAAACTTTCTAAAACAAAGTGTAATAGATGAACTAGTTATTGTACTCATAGTCTATGAGCAGCTTGATAAATTAGGAGTAAGCTTTCTAAAACTAGTTGCAGCTCGATGAACTAGTTATTGTACTCATTGTCTATGTGCAGCTTGATTAATTAGGCGTAAGCTTTCTAAGACTAGGTGCAGCTTGATGAACTAGATATTGTACTCATTGCCAATGTGCAGCGTGATGAACTGGGTGTAAGCTTACACCAAGTTCATCAAGTCTATATGGAGCTTGATAAACTACATGTAAGCTTTACTCACCTGATTAATTGAATTCGAGTACATGAACTCGGATTCAGATGTCCGCATATTCCGATGGACATGGACTAGAATTCAACCAAATCGGACTTGGAGTTGGATCCGATTCTAGGGTTTGACATCCTTTGTATAGAACTTGGATCCTAAGGGTCTAATCCAAGTCCGATACATTACAGCAAAAAAGTGATCGCAAAACAATTTAAATTATGTAACGAAATAACTTTAGCAACTTTACGAATTCAAACAATACTGTCTTAGTTATTCATACATCCATATCATAAAATAACATAATATCTTGTTTAATAATCAAGAGTTGCTAAAAAACATTGGGTATTATTCTTCATATACACAAAACCCTACAAGGATAATGAACAATATTGCTCAAAGGATACAACACACAAGTGATCTAAAATACATAAAGATTTGAAGATAATCTTAAATTAATTAAATGAAGCCCGTCAATGCTTAAATTATTTGGCCACACACTAGTTGCTTTATGATATCTTGAGGTCATGAGCTTTTTTGTCCATTACCCTTTTTTTGTTTACGGTGTCTTTCTCATCTAATTTACAATTACTTAGTTTAGAATATAACTAGTCAAGTTACTTATTTTCCAGATATTATAAAGTTAGGATTCAAGCATAAAGCACAACTGAACAACATGTCTAAAATTTCAGACGCTGCAAACTTGCCTCTTTAGAAAACTGGTCAGCCCATGAAAGACCCCCATCATGATGTTGTTGGTATTCTGCTCCCCAGTCCCCAGACGCAGATATTGAACTCTCCTTGACTTGATTTCCTTCAACAAAAAGTTCACCACGACTCATCTTTGATACGAATTGAAGAAATCTTGAGTTCTACAAATTGCAATGTTAACCAGAAATTAAGACTATGCGATGCAAACCGATCTCAGAACAAGAATGAACACAAAAAGCAGGATTAAACATTAGATAGACATTGTATGGAAAAAAAAAAAAAAAAAAAAAAAAAAAAAAAAAAAAAAAAAAAACCTAAGAGCTAGTATTTTCTGACTGACAAATAGGTCCACTACAATACAATACTGCATATAAAGAGGATTTAAGTAGGAACTGGAAGAAAGTAGCAAAGATAATTCCCAACTCTCGCAGCCTAGCAGAAATTCAGGGTTTCTTTTTATTCGTGATTAACAAAATGCACAAAGTCAATGTTATGTGTTTGGTTCAATTCCCTAAGCCTATAGCAGCAAAAGCTCATGAAAAGAAAATTCTCCATTCATTCAATTCTAATGCAAAATATTATATGGTGTTATGTAGTCAAAAATAAAAACACTGATTCCTACTAGATTATAATAATAACAAAATCTAATCAAAGCATATCATAGTGGAATAAAAACGAGCTCACAAAATGTACCCATTACAATCTTGATTAGTTAATTTGTAAAATAACCCAACCCCCCTCCATTTTTATTTTAAGTGATACACTTTGAATAGCACATAGTTATAGGTAATTTAATTGACTTTAATATAACAAGACATAAGTGGGGGTAATTGAGGTATCAAAAGAAATAACAAGAAAAAGATAGTGGAAGTAATAGTTGAGTACAAGTAAGAGACGTGAGAGGAGAGAAATAATTTTTTAAATATTTAAAAATAAAAACAGTAGTAGGTGTGTGGGGACCATGAGAAGAAAGAAATAATATTAAAATGTATTAGTTTGCCAAAAAAAAAAGAAGTGTTAACACTTGAAAAAAAGGCTGCATTAAGAAATTGTAACACTTGAAAAACATGGAGGGAGTATTATGTTTTGCTTCCCCAACACCCTCCCCCCCAAAAAAATGTACGAAGTACACCCTCTCCCCAAAAAATGTTACTTAATATTGAAAAGAAAATGATACTCAATTATAGATTGAAGTAACCCAAGGATAACACTCAAACCTGAAACTTGGGATCGTTGTTTTGGGCTAATGTGTGTGCAAGAATACGGGTTTGCTCCATTCCAGCTAGCCTTGACATATGTTGATTTGATTGATTTAGAGATACAGCCTGAGCTTGATCCTATAAAAAGGAGAGAGGCATCAGTTATTGACAAATTGAACAGATCAACTTCATAGATCACTACTACATTTATTGAGAAAGAGTAAAATATTCTTCAGATAATCAATCAAAATTCTTGCTGGCAAAATTTGTAATTTAGTATCAAACTAGTTATTGACCCAGGCGATGCCCCGGATCATTATAAATCCATAGGTTTGATCAAATTAATTTAAAAGAGTTAATGTTGAACAATATTACAATAATTAAATGAATATATAATTAGAGATTATACATATGAAGAGTTTTCAATAAAATTAAACACTAATATATAGCATTAAAGTTAGGCCAATGAAAAGTTTTTGTAAAAGAGACTAAACATCAATACAATTCAATATGGTGAGAGCAGAGGGGTGACACATAGGGTGATATATAGGCATGTAGTGCACATGTGGCATATGGGTGACACATGTCATTAGCATGTTGTCCCCATGAGTTTTAATAATATTATTATATAGATGGACGCAAAATAAGGTAGGAAATAGCAAACTGGTAACACATTAAGAATGTGCACTCCTTACATGCTCAAACTCTGAGGCCCAACCATTAGGACCGTGTTCCTGCTCAAATAAATTGGCCCAACCATTTGGATTGAAAAGTTCCGGCTTGTTCTGCCTATATTCGGCAACCCAGCCATCAGCAACAGGAGCACGAACCCCTTGTGACTCATTCCAGTACTCTTCCAGCTCCCTTACCCTACCAGGCAGAGGTCCCTTTAATTGAATATCATTGTCAATATCCAGAGAACATAGTAATGCATCCACCTGAGAAAAAATATATAAAAAATAGTTAAAATGGCCAACATTCCAAATGTTCAGCATTGTTTGCATTCAAGTCAAAACTACAGAAAAAATCATTCTGCCTCTAGCAAATCAAAATGACCCCTAAAAACTACTCCTTCCGTCACTTTTCTATGGTTACACTTTGACCTTCACGGTCTCCAACGCACATCTTTGACCTTCATGGTCTCCAATGCACATCTTTGACCGTGTATATATTCAATTTTGCTCCAGTTAAAGAGGCGAATAATTTTTATCAATGTTACTAAGCGATGAGAGAGAAAATAGAACCAACTACTTCATAGTAAGGTAGACTTATAATAACCATAATATTTACAGCTCATAAAAGGAATAGGTAACTAAATAAATGACGACAAACCTGCGCATTAATGTATTCCTCACTCTTGTCGGCAAAAAAATGTCGAGCCATTATGCTGCTGCGATTACGAATACATTGTTTTTCCCCTTTGGTCAACCCCAACATAGGTAGTGCAGTGGGACGAAAAGGTGCACCAAAACGGCTACTATCAACAAAGGAATGCAGAAAACCTGACAATATTTTTTGTGGTGGTCCTACATAGTTCAGCAATCAGTCAGCTAGCTTGATTATGAACACACCTAAACACAATTCTCAAAGCATCAATGTAAAGAAACTACTTCAAAAATGTTTATAACAATTGCAAACACATTTTCTTAAGTTTCTTGAGAGGAATTTCTTGCCAAATTTCTCTGTTGACAGTATATAGAAGACTAAAGGTCCTCCTAAAGAAAATCCCTATATTTTTCCAAGGCATCATCAAGCAAATGATAAGAGTCCAAAAGTGCATAGATTTCTTTACACTTGTACAATGTCTATGGGGTGTTTTACGGCTCATTTTATGTTATATTTATTTGCAGTTCCAAACCTTCTATATGTGTTTTTGTGGGTGTTTTGAACCTTTATTGGTGTTGCATCAAGTTTTCAAACTAGATCAATAGGAGTTTGCAAGGTTCTAATTGATAAATTGCCACACCTCCTTGGATTCTTCAAGCCCAAGGCACTTTATAATCATCTGAATTAGAGGATTTTGCAGCTAGAAAAATAGGATTTCGGAAGAACGTCTTGTTTCCTTTAATTTTTCTAAAGTTGGAGCCTTGAAGGGGAATTGAAATCCCCCCAACACTATCTTTAAAGATTAATTCTAAGCCCTTTTCAATCCTTACAAACCAATGTGGAATTAAGGATGGACTTGTAAATCACATTTGCATCTTGACAATTGTACTTTTCAACTATTCAACATATATTTGTTCTTTTAGCAATAGTCTTGTTATTTTAAGTTTTAACATATATTAATGCATAGTGCATGAATTGCTTGATACGATCAACATTATCATCACATCTTGTTAAACCTATATACCTAATGTCTGATACTACTCAATGACTTATGAAAGCAACAAGGAGTTCTAATCATATTTTACCTCTTACGTTGATTGCAATTGTCGTCTTTAGTAATCTTTGCTTATCATGTGATTTTAGTATGTTAGTCGGACAAAACAAACGATGTCCATGTCATTCTAACGATAATTGAAAATGTATGAGGTGGTTCAACTAGTAAGGGTTGTCAATCTATCTAATGACCAATTCTATGAGTCAAAGATTTGGTTGAAGCATGGTGGATTTCTATTACTCTATTATTAGCCAAGTATGTCATGTATCATGTCTTTGTTAGTTTCCAAAAAAAACTCTTAGTCATGCTCCCCACCCCCTAACTCCCTTCCATTTTTTAGAACATTATATCCTGGCTAAAAATGCTCCTAAGAAAAGTGTAATAGACCGGCTTAAGGGGGGGTCAGCCACAACTTATACGGGTCTACGCTAGAAGAGTCAAACACGGGTATCAACAACACAAACCACAAAGAGCAAGGGACAAAATCAATTAAGAAGAGGAGAAGGAAAGAAAACAGCCTTAGTCCTAGGATGTTTATTAATGTTTTTCTATATTAGCTAAGTTTCACATGTTAAGCCTTAAGGTCATCCTTGACCATCTTAGTATAAGTAGTATGGGTAGTGTTAGTGGAAACGCAGGCAGAAATTAGTGAGGAAAATTTGGAGAGTTGCAACCTCAAGTTGCTAGGAGATTTGTAGCCTCAAGCTACTACTTTGTATCCTTTCCATTAATTAGTTCAATGAAAATTCAGTCCTTCTCTTACTAAGGAGTATTATCGAGAGAATCAGCCTTAGTCTATAACAAAAAGAAGTCTTATTCTTACCAGACACTTTATCTTATAAGTGAAGGCAGGATATTGTTAACTCTTGTGTCCTTCACCTCTTTTTCTATTGCTTTTATAGATACCTTTGTGTGGGAAGAATTGGCTGCAACCATGTTCTGCCAAAGATAATTTATGGCTTGAAGCCTTGAACAAATAGATGAAGAAAGGTTTAACCACTAGGATATGGTGGGTTAGAACCCCACTCCCTCCCAAAATAAATATATAAATAAATAAAAAGGCTGGTATTTCTTCCTTTTTTTTTCTTTTTTTTTTTTTTTTTTTTGAAGAAAATGGTCAGTGCTATTATTCAATTAACAAAGAGTCCATTACAACACAAGGATTAATCTCCAAAGGAGAGTGATTAATCCACACTTGTTCCTCACCGAAGGGCACTAATCTAGTGAGATGGTGTGCTAGTATTTCATTTGACTATCAATATGTGCCCTTAAAAATGAAACCAATACATTTCTTTGGTATCTTAAGAGCTGAAGTTCCCTATTTTTTCAGGCTACTGTAATGCACCAATGCTATGAATAAATTTTAGTTTCTTAGAAATACTATGGTGGTCGGAATTGGATACAGATAGTGAATACAAGAGCGAACATGGAAAATTTTAATTTCAAAGGTACAAAGACAAGTTCATGAAGTTTCCTAATTTATAATATGGGTGTGGGACACAGCAAAATTTTAGGAAAAAAAAATCTGTAAATTTCTCCAATTATAGCAGTACAGGAAACAATACTACTCCATGTAACTTATCAAAGGAAAAATAAAAAGAAAAGAAAAGGAAAAAGTATAAGATGTGGTTCAGAACATTAAATAGCAATTTATCATAAAATAATGAAGTATTCACACACAGGAATGCAAAAGTGAGCCAAACAATTGAAAATTCAAAATACTATTTCATGCCCGCATGAGACCTCCGCTCCACATTCGATTAATGGAGGAGAGCAAAAAGCTCAAAATAAGAAAAGAAACAACCCCTATTACGCGTAACTTCTGCCCCCTATTTAATTAATTTGGAAGAGAAAAGCTCAAGAGAAGAAAAGAAACAAATGCCCATTAACAATATAAAAATAGAATAATTATACTCAACAGACAACAGCCAACCCCATAAAAATCTGGCAGCAGTTGCCCAAGAAATTGACCTTGCTCATAAAAGGCAAATGTTTTGCCCTTACCTTCAATTTGCACATCTAAAATTGACCCTATGAACCCTAAACATTTTTTATATCTCATTATCTTGTCGCCCTTTCAATGAGCATGTTACAGTAGAAATGCTTGATAGGTATAAGAATAGGATTCAGTGTCCGCACTGGTCAGGTTGTGTCAACAAGTGTACAGTAGAGCAATCTAGTCGATAAAGTGCTGCATAATTATTTTTTTTTCTCTTGATATGAGATAAAGCAATTCATAGTATTATAGGTTCTGCTTAGTTCTCAGTATGTGACAAGGATTCAATGCGTGGTCAGGTATCAACAAGGGTATGGTAGGGCAAAGTGACAATTCTAACACTTTGAATTGACCACATCAACCATCACCAGAAGGGCAAAGTTTCCATAGAATTCCCAATATTTTAAAGGTTGGTTATCAATTGTCATCAAAATATTTTAAAGCACGAAGTTAAGGATTAGCCGGTCCAATTGGTCAAATATCGGACCGGACCGTTAAAAATTAGTTCCAGACCGGAACCCGAACCTTTTGATTTCGGTCTAGTCTTACCGGTGTACAGCCCTAATTGAGCATCCCCTTCGTTCTTATAATTGGCACTTAATTGCTCTTCCTCTAATCATGTGGCATCCTGTTTATTCTCCAAATCTTGTTAAACATGTCTGTTAGCTAATCAACCTTTCCAAACATCTTCAAACCTCAAAAAGGATACCATTTGTGCCAACTTCTTTCTTTAGTTCATTCTCTTCAATGCCTTCTAAGCCAACAAAAAAAAAAAAAACGAAAACATAAAAATTATTATTCAAGATCACCTTATTTCAAGGAAAGATAACATAGGCTTAAGGGGGGCATCAAGTAACTCATCTAAACAAGCTACCCACCAGCTGGCTAATACATTGTCCAAGGAAGAAACCTCCACTTTAAATAACCTTAGAAAGGATACCATGACAAATTTTTGGGTTTTTTTTGGCAATATTACACAACACGGCAGAACACTGAGTGCCTGACTGTATTGCACGCTGCACCTGTTGTTCCTGCATCTGGCTGCTGGTAGTGTATTCTCGCTGTAAAGCATGGATGTTCAAGAAACACACTTTTCATTGCTGCCCTCTTGCTTAATTCATGTCACCTCAAACCAGTGTATGAAAAGGTGTGCCTAGGGAGCATCTAGGCGCTAGAGCTCTGGGGTAGAGCGTTTACTATGTGAGACGAACCAGGGTTACATCTTAGTTGCACATCAGTCAATTTTTTTATTTAAGTAGCACCTCATTTCAATGAGGCGATCCAACACGCACCTAGGCACAACAGGATTCCTTTCGCCTTAGTGTGCCATGAGCATGTTTATAGACTGCCTATAACATTGTCCTCTGTTTTGTTTCACGTCCTAACACCTGATCCAAGCTTCCTAATTTTCTTATAATCAACTTATCAACCAATCCAAATGAGGGAAGTGGTGAACCTCACCCTATGACTATGAACACCCAATCACAAGAACTCTAACAAAAGGCCTTGTTTCCATGTTAGGATAACAAAACATATCCAATTATTGTAAACTCTTGTTTCTAAGGGAGTGAGTGCATGTAAGAATTGAGTGGATTAAGCAAGAGAGATGTAGTAAGGAGATGCGTGAGTGTAAGAATAAAAGGTGGATATAGTAGGAGAGAGTGAGTGAGAAGGTTTAAGTTTTTTTTTTTTTTTTTTTTTTTTTGAGAGGAAGAAGGTTTAAGTATTTGGTATAATGTGTTTGCCTAAAATAGAATAAAGTGAAATAGGTACCACAAAAAAATAATACGTTAATTTAAAAAATGAAAAAGAAGAAGAAAAACAATAATGGAAAGTCCATAAATAATAAACAGAGAGTAGAACAATGCAAAATTGGTAACATAACAAAAGCAAAGGCATACCATATGCATATGAAGAGATATTCGACAGGAACACTAAACAAAGGTAACACCTACTTCCAAATCCACCTTGAGAGCAAGTCCATCCAAAAACCAAAGATAATAATAAGAATAACAAATGATGTAAAGCGTTATAATTACCATCCCAAGATTGTTGAGTTTGAGTAGCAAATCCTTCATTATAGATGTGCCGTGATTCAAGAAAATTTGATTCCCTCTCAGGTTGTATATCATCCCAAGCTTCCGTAAATCCACTATGACTAGCGGAACGATAGTTGTGAAGAAAGCCCACATCCTAACAGAATATTCGGAAATCCATCAGTGCGTAACATAATTGCACTATGTATCACCATCATACACTATCATTAATTACTAAGCCAAAAGCTACACACCTGGCCAGCTGAGTGTTGGTTAAAATGATATTCTGACTCTGAACCAGGAAGAGCTGTCAACTGCTCATCAGAATTCGAGTAAAATTGATTGCTGGAACCTGAGGAAGTTGACGTAGGGATCTCCTTCAACCTTTCCTGTTTCACAATATATATAACAATCAGAATAAGGGAATTTTATTCATGAGATTCAAGCATCACAGTTGTACATAATGCTATGAAAACTCAAAAGTGCAATTTAATCGGCATATGTAATGTTCCAAAATGTGTCATTCACTCACCCAACACAATACATGCATTTCCCATTCATTTATTTCTAAAGTTCACTATCGCAGCAAGTGTAAAGACTAATCTGCTCTACAGTTTATATCAGTTTGATGCCAAGATAACACAAAATATAGCCGAAATGATAAGAAAAGCTGAGTGGGTGAAGAATCAAAGGGTGATGTCAGACTCCGATGGTAAAACATATGGAATTAATCAGGCATACATTAATTAAGTTGTAGATAACAAGTGAAAGCTATAGCGCAGGCAATAGAAATCATTGCAATAATAATAAAATAATACTCGTACAACAGAAGGGTAGCAGAATTAAGGGAAAGATTTAGGGGAAAACAAAAGACCTGGGTTTTGGAGGATGAGCCAATAAGGGCGTTGGCCAGAGAACCCAGAGGATTAGAAGAGGAGGATGAGCCGGAATCGTTACAAGAAGCACCACCTGTAACCAAATCCCGCATCGCCATGATAAGACCAGATTTAGCTGGTGAAGATGATTTACCCTCTCTCTCCAATCTCCAACCACCCTCTCGCCTTCCTCTTCACCGCTCGTACGGTCCTCTCTCTGACTCGCTAATTCTAACTTGTGTGAAATTGGATTGCCAATGTTGATAAATTGCATTTACCTGACTTTGAGTATAAAGTTGTGAAGAACACATCTACGAAATTCAATCATCATAAAATTACCATAATAATTCACTCAATTCACATAGAATCATAGATTTGTTCACAAACTCACCAAAAAATTCACATATTCCAATGTCGGCGTTTTCAGATCTAGGTTTTTTAGGAATTCTAGCAACAAATCAATTACTATAATCATTCATAATTTACTCACCAGTTACATAAAAGAATTCGATTTTCACAATCAAGAACCATAAATTTTATTATACAGAATATTAAATTAACGATGAAGCGAAATTAAAATCGGTAAAATTAAAAAAATGTTACCTTGAAATCTACTTCAATGGAATATAGAAAGCTCAGAAGCCGCTTCAATGGAGTCGTGAAAGCTCAAAAGTCGCTCCAACGGAGTAGAGAAAGCTCGGAGGCAATGTTGATAATTATGATAATTGAAGAACTCCGTGTCTCCGTGACCTTCCCTTTATTAATTATTACTTCATTATTTTTTGTTAAGGGAATTTTCATTTGATACAATTGTATTTTGGGTCCTAATCTCTCTTTCTTTGGATTTTCTTTGGATCTCTTTGGA